AAAAAAAAAAAAAAAAAAAAAAAGGCCTTGGGTGATGATTAGAAAATAATAATAAATAATTAGAGCAGAAATCAATGAAATTGAAACAAGAAATCAATAGAGCCCTGGCTGCTTTGGCTCAGTGGTTAGAGCTGCCCCATGGGCCTAAGGATTGCGGGTTCTATTCCTGGTCAAGGGCACATACCTCAGTTGTAGGTTCAATCCCCAGCCCTGGTCAGGGCACGTGTGGGAAGCAACCAATTGATGTGTCTCTCTCAAGTCAATGTCTGTCTGTCTCTCTCCCTCTCTCCCCCATCTCTCCTTTTCATTCTTTCTAAAAATCAATGGAAAAAATATCCTCGGGTGAGGATTAACAACAACAAAAACAAATCAATAGAGAAAAATCACCAGGGAAATGTAAATTAAAAGATACCACTACACACCTATTAGAATGGCCAAAATCCAAAACACCACTCCCACCAAATGCTGGTGAGGATGTAGTGACAGGAGCACTCATTCACTGGCACTGGAATTGTAAAGTGAGAAAGGCACTTTGGAAGACAGTTTGGTAGTTTCTTAAAAAACTATGCATACCATGTGATCCAGTAATTATATTCTTTGGTATTTACCGAAAGTTGAATATACATATCTACACAAATAGTTGCACATGGATATTTATAGCAGCTTTTTTCATAATTGCCAAATCTTGGTAGCAACCAAGATGTTCTTCAGTAGGTTAATGGATAAACTGTGGTACATCCAGACAATGGAATATTATTCAAAGAAATGAGCTATCAAGCTGTGAAAAGAAATGGAGGAAACTCAAATGTACTGTATGTTGTTTTTTCAATTTGCCTGAATCTACCATTAGGCTAGTGTTAGTCAGAGAAGCTTCTGTTGCTTGTAACCAAAAGAACTTGATATAGAACTCTGACCAGAATTTGGCAAAGGATATTAAAAATCAATACAGACAAAATAAACAAAAAGATAAGCAACCATGAGAAAATATTAGCAACATATATAAACAAAGTATAATGTTCATACTATATTGAAAACTCATATAAATAAACAAAAATAAATAACCAAATAGAAATTTGGACAACATATATGAATAGGTAATAGAGGAAGAAATATAAATATCTAGTAAACATGAAAAATCTTCAACCTCATTAACAAAAAACACAAATAACAATGAAGTATCATTTTTTCACTCAAGAAAAAAAAATTTGAAAAAAATTGCGAAGACTTCAATATTAACAAACTATAGGAAAATAACCACTTTATAAACTGTTGGCCAAAAATAAAGTTAACACTATCTTCTGAAAGAACAATTTGATATAATATACACATCAAAATTTTTAAAAGGCACACTCTTTAGCAATTTCACTTCTAGGAATTTATTCTATGGAAAATGTGTACACAAATATAAATTTAAATACTACATGTAATAATAAATATTGAAAATAATTTAAATGTTGAAAATAGAAATGGTTAAGTAATTTTGGCATATTCTTAGTAAGGAAAATGTTGTAGCAGTTAAGAACCAGGTAGATCTATATGCAATAACACGGAACAATTCTCAAGATATATAGTTAAGTGGCAAAAATCACACAACAATAAATTTAACAGATTGGTTATGTTGAAAAACTAGTCTATTAAAAGATAAACATTTTTGAAACTATATGGCTTATATATATTACATATGTTAAAAATATACCTATAATAAAGGTAAAGACACAATGAAAAATATACACCAAACCATTAAAAGTGGTTTTATCTCCAGTAAAAAGAAAGCAATCAGCAGGATCAACGGGGACTTTCTTGCCTCTTCTTCTATATTTGTGTGTTTATGTACTTAAATAATACAACATTTTATTAAGGAAAGTATAAATAAACACCAAACAAAAGAATCTCTGACAGGCAAAAAAAACACCTAATTTAAAATTTTAAACTGAATACTTCAGGGTTTTTTTTATTTTTTCCACTTGAACAGTATGAAATACTTTATTATTCAGATTTGAAATTTTAAAAACTATAACAAAATTTTCTTGGTAAAGGACTAAGAAATATTGGACCCAATTGACATTTAACATAATTATTAAAATTTGTAATAAAATGTAATAGAAGTACTTAATCCTGAGAGACTTAAGAAAGTTTCTAGTTTTGTAAAGACATGACATTCATTAAATTCATTAATTCAAGGTTTACTAACATCAACTGTTGATATTTTAAATGAAGAAATACTCATTCATAGGAAAAAGGTAACACCATAAAACTCCAGCAAAAAACCCTTCCATAGAAGTGCCTTTATAAGTACATTGAAGTGTCTTTAGGCAAACTAAATTGTTGATCAGATTTGATAGCATTAGGAACCCATTATTTAATTTTTTTTCCAATTCCAGTAACTTAGATTCATATGCCAATTTTAATGTCTTGGCATCCTTTTCAAAACATGAAAACCTTATCCTATAAATCTAAATCTTCAAGGCCATTTATAACAAATGTTAGGCATCAAAAACTACAAAAATTCACCTGATTTTTGACAGACAAATCTTCCTAATGATAAAATTAAGATATACCTGGGGAAAAATAAAACTAAACAGGATCTCGACTTATAGTTACTGAATTAACTGGTTTCTAATTATTCAGAGAGTAAATATATGTCTCAAAGAATGCTCAAACTATAACTGATAATTACATTAGTAATTATTAATAATTAAGAAACAAACTGAAATATATTCAAGAATAAATTATACCTGATACAGAGAAATTCCAGAAGAACACTGAAAGTCTATTTTCTGTACTTTTCTTTCAAACTAAACAAATAACAGAAGAGAATAGCATATTCCCACCTTTCTGTTTTGGAGTCATTGTTAATTTTGTACTGTTCAAAATCTTGGCTGAGAGAATGCAGCTTTTCTTGAAGTATCTTTTCACGTTCTACACTTCCTTGATAAAATTTCATCTCTTTTTCCATCGCTTTCACTTTTTCTTCCATAGCTTTAAACTCGTGTAGAATTAAATAGCTGACTCCACAGTACTTACAAACTTTTTCATCAGGGGACATCTAGAAAATAGAATATGCATTACTGAAATGATATTTTTAAATTCTGAAAAAATGAAGTCCAGTGGAAGATGTTATTGCTACTATGTTGTCAAATGAAGTAAATGTATACTGTTCTATATCATGGAGTGATAATTATGACATTGCTTACATCTGGATAAAATTTTTTAAATTGGTATGATATTGACTCTGACACAAAATCTTGGAGTTAGAAAAGGGTCTTTCAGAGTAATTATTTCTCCACGGTATCTCTAAGAAAAACTTACTCTTGAAATATTTTCCAGCCCAGCTGGGCGTGGCTCAGTGGTTGAGGTTCAACCTATGATCCAGGAGATTGCGGTTAGATTCGTGGTCAGGGCACATGGCCAGGATGTGGGCTTGATCCTCAGTAGGGGGCGTGCAGAAGGCAGCCCATCAATGACTCTCTCATCATTGATGTTTCTCTCTCTCTCTCTCCTCCCCCTTTCCTCTCTCTGAAATCAATAAAGATATATTAAAAATATTTTTTTTCCCATACAATTAAACAGAAATGATGAAAACATCGTTACAATTCTTATTTTAAGATGAGTTTTCCATGGAGTGGGAAGAAAGCACTGGCTTTTCACTGCCAACTGCACTGTGATTTTGCAGGTGCCTCTTGGCTTTTTCAGATCTTATTTTCCTCATTTATAAAATTAGGGCATTGAACTCTTAGTTCCTGTTCAGTTTTAACATTTTACGATTTTTACAGAATTTTACATTCTGTCACAAAACCATAAATAGGAAAACCACTTTGAACCCAATCTCTTCTCCCTAAATTAGTTCTTTTCCTCAGGGAGTTAAGGTTATACTCATTTTATAGATGAGGAAAGGGAGGCTGCTGACATTAAATAACCAGCTGGTAAATGGGGAAGTTAGGATTAAACCCAGGTCTATTTAAAATCAATACCCATGCCTGTAGCCATTCGTACCATATTTATCTACAATGTGTACATCAGCTAAATCCTCTTACTTTCTTCAGATATAATGTTCACATATCTCTGGACAACATTGAGGCAGTGAAAAATAGAATTTTGGCAAAGTCAAGAGAGAGGTAATTATTTTTTCTGTCTCAAGTACATAAATATTCTTCAAGTAGCCTCTACTTGTCTTGCTATTCACAAAGGACAAAAAGAGAGACAGCTTCATTAAATATTTGCTCCAGGGCACTAAAATGAAAACAACACTGGGATTACTAGAAAAGTACTTACTCTTAATGTAACCTCCCTTAACACTGTAGAAATGGCTCCTCCAACTAAGAGTGAGGGCACCATGTCTGTCTATCAGTGCTATCACACAAGAGTAGGTTAAAGCAAACTAATAATAAATTTTTATAAAGTAAAATTTTGCACATTTAAACTTCAATAATAAAAATTTCAAATGTCAGACTGGCTATTATCAACAAGACAAGTAATAATAAGTGCTGGAGAGGTTGTGGAGTAAAAGGAACCCTCATTCACTGCTGGTGGGAATGTAAACCTGTACCGCCACTATGGAAAGCAGTATGAGACTCCTCAAAAAATTAAGAATACAACCCTGGCCGGTGTTGATCAGTGGTTAGAGCAGCGGCCTGAGTATTGGAGGGTCTCGGGTTCCATTTCCAGTCAAGGGCACACATACCTGGGTTACAGGTTTGATCCCCGCCCTCTGTCAGGGTACAAGCAGAGGCAACCAATCGATATGTCTCTCACATCAATGTTTCTCTCTCCTCTCCTCTCCTCCCCTCCCCTCCTCTCCCATTTCCTTTCTCTCTCCCCCCTCCCCCTCCTCTCCACTCTCTCTAAAAAAAAAAAATCAATGGAAAAAATATCCTCACTCCTGGGGTGAGGATTTAAAAAAACAAAAAATATTAAGAATATAGTCACCATATGACCCAGCAACCCCCCTTCTGGGTATCTACCCCAAAATTTTGAAAACACTTATTCAAAAAGAGATATGCACCCCTATGTTCACTGCAGCATTATTCATGGTGGCCAAGCCATGGAAACAACAGAAGTGTCCTTCGATAGATGATTATATTAAAAAGATGTGGTAAAATATATACAATGAACTACTACTCAGCCATAAGGAAAGATGAAATACTGCCATTTGCAACAACATGGATGGATCTTGAGAATATCATGCTAAGCAAATTAAGTGAGAAAAAGTTAAGAACCATATGATTTCACTCATATGTGGGATATAAAACTGAAAGCAACAAATGAGCAAACAAGAAAAACAAACAAAAACCCATAGACACAGACAACAGCATGGTGGTTACAAGAGAACAGGGAGCTGGGGGGCAGAGTAAAAGTTAAAGGGGGTCAAATATATGGTGATGGAAGATTATTTGACTTTGAGTGGTGAGCACACAATGCAATATACAATTGATATATCAAAGAATTGTACACTTGAAACCTCTATAATCTTATTAACTAATGATACTACAATAAATTTAACTTAAAAATTTTTCAAAGGCAAAACCAAAATATAATACTGTGGAAAACCAATGAATGACTACATCATTGAATGCCAATGAATGACACTGGTACCAAAAATACAGATTTATAAAACAACAGATTTGAAAGAAATCATAAAGATAACCTGGTTGAAACATTGGATGGGTTCACTGAGTCTATTATAACCTAGACAAATTGTTGCCCAGACTCTATTTCAATATCCCAAATGATGGAAAACTACTTTGTAAAGCAGCTTGTTGCATCTTCTAACAGTTTGTCAGGAAATTTTTTCTCACACTGACCCCAAAGCTGCCTGCCTGGAGCGTCCACTGGTCCTACACCTCCTAGTAACCATGTGGAACCACCACAGGCTCTTTCTAATATTTGAACACAGCTATCAGTCAGGAACACTCCCTATCTGATCCTCTCCAGGTGAACACTTCCAATTCCTTCAGCTGTTTCCCATATGACATGGTTTTGACATTCTTCCTCATTCTAGATAATCTTCTCTGAACTTGTTCCTCGGTTCTACGTCGGTTTCAAAGTATGGTACCCAGAATTGAATACTTCAGTGTGAATAAGAGTACTCAAACTTTCCACATCCTAGTATCTCGTTAGTATTGTTAGTAATACCTTCTAATGCAACCTTAGATTATAATGATCTCTTGCATTTGTAGCAATTATGTTACTATTATATACTGTAACTGTCTTTTACGTTAAATAAAGACCCTGTTTAAAAATACTGCAGTGCAAAACCAAGTTTCATTATACCAACCCATTCCTTTCCACCTTTTTTAGAGATCTACCTGCCACAGCCCTGGCTGTTCTATGTGGTAATGTGACCAAAACCCCATCCACCCTATCCATGGCTGACTGGTGGAAAAGGACTGGACATCCCACCTGGAAGAACCAGGCCTTAAGTTGGGAATGATCCAACCAGCCCTTAAGTGTTGAAGACCCAGACATTTACGAAACCCTTAGGGCTAACTACCCAATTATCTTTGTAACCAGCCTACATTTGTTGACATTGTCTTCAGGAATATTACAATGAAATTCATCAAATGCCTTTGAAAGGTTCATATATATTTGATGCCTACTACAGTTCCTGGATCTAGTAACTCTACACGAAATGGAATAGAGCAAGGTCTACCTGCTGGTTCTCTTAATGAACACAAAATTGGCCCAATTTTATTGGTTCTCTAATATACCCTCACAAATCTCCCTTTGACAAAAAATTTGGAATCTTGACTGGAATTGAAATTGAGTTCACTGGTTGTAGTTTATGGTCACTTTATATGTGGAGTGGCATTTGTATGTTATCCTCTTACTCTTCGTGTGTCCTCAAAGATCACCAAGAGTGGCTCTGCAATCCCATTCAAAGGTACTGTCAGTCCCCTGGAATATAATCCATCCATGTCAAGAGACCTAAACTAATTCAGAGAAGAGGGGTATTTTCTTACAATCCCTTTGCCCATCATGAGTTTTGGTCCCTTCTCATCAATTTGAAAATTATATTGCTTTATTCCAAAGCACTTTCGTCCTTAATCTTCTGCCTATTAATCACAGTTTTTGCCCTGCTTCGGGCAAAGCACCCTAAACCCAGTCTAATGGAAGCTCTTGCCTGGGTGAAGCTTCTTTGCAGGCTGATGTACAAAACACAAAGAGCATAAACTTCACAATTGTGAAAGCTATTAGAATGTTATTCCATCCTAGCAATTATGGGGGGGAAGCTAAAATAAGTGAAGTAAAACATTTTATAGGACAGGTCTTCTGGAAGTTCAGCAAAGAAAGCCAAAATATAATATCATTATGATCTAGGAAACAAGACAATCAAATTACAAAATAAAAGGTCCATATGAGAAGTCTCCAGACTTCATCTAGTACAACCTGAATCACTGAGTGATCTATGTTAAATAAGTATATTGAACAAAAGTCTTCAATGCTATTAAATTGTAAATAATTTTCTGTAAGTAAAACTGCAACAGAAAAAGCATAATAACACTTTCAAATTCTTAGTGTCTGTCTATACAGGCTAATTATTTTGGGCATTTCTGTGAAACTTGAAAAGATATGATATACTATAATTATGTTCCCAAATGAAGTAAGTAAAAGTTATCTGGTTTTTTGGTGTGAAATATAATTTGTGCTTCATCCTTATAACTTGGTGTTATAACATCTCCTTGTTTTGTAAGTAAAATAATGACATGCTGTCATTCTTGACAAAACAGCTATTATAAGCAGGATGTCTCTGCTTTCTCGATGTACTCTGGAAGAGGCATTAGCAAACGCAGTATATTAAACAAATGCGAAACCATTTAAAAATAAATTTTAAAATAAACTTCTCAACTGCAGCATTTGTACTTCTTAAATTACAGTTATTCAATATTAAAATGATGCAAAAATCTTTTAAAGGTTAAATTAGGCTTTGGGTCCTTCACAAAGCTCCTGTCTGTGCTTCAACTAGAAAGGGCGCTCAGGAACCCCTGCTGCCCAATTGAGGCATTCTCTGCTCCAAAAATTGTTCCTCCTTTTTTGCCCACCCTGTCC